AGGCACGTTTCAAGTTTACAGCAATAACTAAACATAAGCTATTATGATAACTGAGAAGCTGACAGACTGAGAGAACAATTTGGAAAAAAAATTACAGATTCTTGTTTTAAGCTGACCCCAAACTAACTGGTAGGTCCGCAGTTCTGCTATCCTCTCTGCATCTGAACTAGAAAAAACACGGCCAAGATGCATGAATTTTTTGGCGTCTGGGGAGGCATGCTGTATATTTACAGCTGGTCCTTAACTACTAATCTTTCAACACCTGTATGCCTTCTCCTAGGGGCTGCCTAAGGAAAGCTTTGTCAGAACGCTCAAGTTTCTATTGCCCATGGGCCAGAACAGGTACCTAAGCGGGCTCAAGAATGTGGTCAGCAGCGGGGCGAGAGGAGGAAGTGAACTCGAGTGTGCTACACGTACCGTGGGTTCCTTTGTAACATCTGAAATAATGGAGAAAGCAACACAGGTCACTAGCAGCAAAGACATCTCTAATCCTCTGCCTCCATTGCCTCCATGCAATTACAGAACTTAGATTTTTTGGTCCTAAAATCTAATACACCAGTCGGATTGGGATGGGTTTACCTCACCCTCTGCCTCCATGCTGCTTTTTAACAGAGATGACACATGTGGGGTTCTTGTCTGCATCAGCTAATACAGAAAGATGGATGCAGCCCAGCTCTATCCTTGGACAATTAGGGGATTGTGCTGCCAGTACCTCCTTCCTAATGTGTTCCACATGACTTTTCCCCAAACACTTATTCCAAGGCCCCAAACTTCCACTTGGAGCTCCGTTCCTCTCAGACCTAAAAATCGTTCTGTGTCAAACCTCTGTACTGAGGCTTATTTCAGACTTCCCCATTGACCACAGAGCCCAAAGGTGGCTCAACTCAAAGCTTTCATGTTCCTGGCAGCTCCCAATTCTCACATCCCAGGCTGGAAACCCTGCATTAGGAGGTTCCTCTCCCCYTTTCTGCGCCTCAGCTCCCCTGCAGCTTCACAGGCAACTTGCACATTCCACCACCTCCACACCCCGGCTAGTGCCACTTACTCTTCCCCCRTCTCATACTCGCATTTACCAGAAATCCACTGGAATTGGACTCTAAGTGTTGAAAAATAAGTTACTAGGGAAGAGACMTCTGTGGAGGAGCATATTTGCACCTTTGCTGCAAATAGGGCAGCTTTTACTCCTTTGAAATTGTTTCTGTATCTGAAAATGAACGGACAGCTGAGGTGGCTCTCACCTGCCTGCAGGAACTGCTGCTTCTCTGGTGACAGTCACCACTCCTGGCTCCCGGGAGCGTGGGCACGCGGGCACAGAGCGCGCAGCAGGACACGCTGGGAGAGGGCACCAYGAACACCAGGAACTCACACACCACAAAGAGCTCCTCACTCTGCTTCCTGGGCTACCAAAGCTTCCCAGGGGCTCACAGCCTTCTTTCTAACTAAACAAGCAAACAGAAGCTAGCTCACTGCTACCCACTGCAGTAAAAACATTATCTCCATTACATGAGAAATATTTTTGTAATGGAGCATCTGCTACAGAGAGAACTGAGTCAAGGGAATCAACTCTAAGCGTATTGACTTGCCCACAATGCAGTATCAGGTAGTATAAAATGTATCAACAAGGATTTACTCCCCAATCGTGAAAAACAGGAGAAAAGTATGGCAGCACAACAGATGCAGATCTAACAGACTGATATTCAGAAGATAATCCAAGTGATTTTGCCTTTCCCCTTCAGTACCATCAGGCTTGCCTTTCCCACAGGGAATACAATCTGTTGATAAACTCTGTTCATGCAAAAACATATCAGGATTGACAGACACTGGCATCAGCTCATTTGTCCCAATTAATATTTTCTCCCAATGAATATCTCACTAGAGCTCATGATTTTGGGAGATCAGGTTCCAAGCTCTGTACAATTACCCACAAAGAGGGCACAGCTTTGCTGCAGACAGTTCCTGGAAGATACTTACACCATTTCCAGCACTCTGACCTAGGAGAGAACCGATAACTGTTTAACTGAGCCAGCTGTCCTACCCACCTCAAACAAATGAATAAAATAATTTTAAAAAACAACAGGAAATACACCAACACACACAGAGAGTGGACCTGTACCAGCATATTAGATTAAACATTGTACATGAACACCAGTAGGTATTTCAGGAACTGGAACTGTCCTACCAAGGCAGATGCACCTGAGCTGGCAAAGCTGCTTTCACTCCTCGAGCGGCAGGAGCCAGTTCAGCTCCCATCGCCGCCAGGAGGAACGTGATGCCCCCTCTAAAACATTCTTGGATCTATTGGAATTCTTACATCAAGGTCTTTTTCTGAGAAATAAGCCCAATTATTACATACATCAATCAGTTTCACAAGTCAAGTCAGAAAACTTGGACTGCTGTAAAACTGATCTGTTCATCTCAATTTAACCAACATCCTGGCTTACTTGGAGCTATTTCAAAACACGACCATCTAATTAAGACAGTTGGCAGCAGAAGCCACCTCCAACAGCAGCTGCTCTGATTAAGGTTGGGAAGATAGAGCACTTCACTAGTAACTTCTAGGAAATAGGGAGTCCCTAGAGTAAAAATGAGCAGTTGCAGTAGCTCTCCTGGTTAGAGGATGCAAAGACTCACTGTTCTCTACCTGGGTTTAATTGGTACATGGATATCTTCCTCATTTCCTCTGAAAGGTAAAACACATCTCTAATCTGACAGKGTAAGTGTTCTGCTCTAGGTGGAGCACAAATTAATGAAATGAAGAGTGCTTTGAACCTAGAGCAGAACGCTTGCCTTTCCTCACTCACACGGCAAGTACATGAGTGGGGAAATTAAAATATACTTTTGTATGTATGTACATATCAGACCAGTGTTGAGTCGAGTATATACCAAAGCTTTTGTTGTTGTTTTTTCCTCTTTTTCTCCAGACTACAAACTATCCTTTTCCACTAGTGTATTGATTTCACAGGCAAGACTTACTATTTCCATTACACCACATTACACTCATACAAGGATGTGCCATTGAACAGGAAGGTGGTTACGGAAAATTCCTGAAACTTTGCATTGCTCAGGATTTCATTAAAACACGCCATATGCAGCCTACAGGGCTTACGCAGGCAAACAGTTTCAGTTAGGATGGCTTGTCACTCAGCAAACAAGTACTGAAATCATTTGGCTGCAGCTTTTGAATTACTTGCAATCACGTCTCTCCCTACATGCAGCTTATTAAACAAAAGAGTATTTGCTGGTGATATCAGGGTACATTAAACACAGTCATCTCTTGTTCTACAAGATGCAAGTAGGGTTAATTCTCCCCCCGCAATATTCACAAACAGCAAGTCTAAAACCAGAAGACAGAAGAAACATGCCAGCTTCAAATGAACAGAGTAACCCTGGCTGCCAATGCACTAAACATTCAATAGTTAGTTCACTTTAGTCATTTTAAAAAGGCAAAAGTAAGAAAAATACTACATTATACATTCTGTTTAATAGTCGTTCACTTCATTTTTAGGTTATGAACAGCTTTGATGACTGCACAACCTAAAGACAAGGAACACTTTCAAGGTTATCCCTTGAGGTAAAATACATAGATCAAATATTTAACAAAAACTTTTAAATATTCAAGTGAGAAACAAATAAAACATGCTTTGGAAAAATATCAGCTCCAAGTCATATATGGACAGAATGGATGTCTGAGATGCATCATGTCAAATGCCAAATAAATATGTAAACACTCTGCCACATTTTTCAATAAATCAAATTCTAAATGAAAGGTCTAATGCAATCTCAGCCTCTGGCTCTCCCTTGAAAGAAATCATTTCAAGCAAAGTGAAAACATTTTCATCACTGACATGACCACCTGAGTCATACTAAACACCATGCAAATGACTCCAGTCACGACGGGAAAAGGCAAGCTGCTAGACAGACCACTGCAAGTGCAGTGCAGCTACAGCAACGGCACGTAGACCACAACATCACTGAAGAACAATCCACAGAGAACTAAGAAAACAGAGAGCCTGCATTTGTAGTTTGCAGGTATGCAGTATTAAAGGAGAAGCTGCTAAACAAAACGCTGCTGTGATATCAAACACTAGCAGGAGATCCTTGTACCTTTCCTTTTAAAACTGTAAAAGGACTACAAAGAAACCAGCACATCTACTTACAATTGCACCAAAACTGCCAAAAATTGAGWTGTCTTAAAATTGGGGATAAAGGACTAAGAACGGACAACTTGCTTCCCATGTCAGGCCCACTTCACCTAATGATTCCATTCTAGTCTTGCTGCACTCCACCCTGAATGATCTTGGAAAGGTTCCCTTCTGGAATCTGGCTGTCCCAATATGTCAAAGCTTTCTTCCTCTTGTTTCCATCAACTTGCTCCTAGCAACCTTCTTTCCTGTAGTGACCTATGAGTGTAATCTTGATAAAAATCTAACTAACTTGTCAAAACTACGTTTTTCCCAGCAGCAATTAAGTCAAGCCTGAGATCCTATTCCTGCATGCTGCAGTTAGAAGTTCAGCTCCATAAATATAAGACATCCTTAGACAAGCAAGTGACTTCCCTCCTGCCACCACGTTCATCTACAGATGCCTGGCACAACACTGGATCTTTAAATAATTAAGAGCCTATATGCCCTACCTAAAACTAAGCATTTTTTTTTTTTTTTTACAGAATTTCAGATGCATCTCTTAAAAAAAAGAGCAGAAAAAAATGACAGTGACAGCAAATATTCCAAGGTCATGGGTTTTCTTTTTTATTCACACTGCTTTTGCATTCCCCGAGTGGATTTAACAACTGAGAAAGCAAAATGACTCCTTGCATCCAAAAAGATACAAGTCTGTATGACCTTGGCTAATTTTTCACAAAGTTTTTGACTCTCGCTACTATTTACAGATCAACACATACACACAAATATAGGCTGTAATACACACGTGAAGATTATCTTAAAAATATTTTTTCAGCATTCAAAAGACATGCAATTTTTTAAGAGGAATATTTTACTCACCAGTGCTACTCAGAGAACTGCTGCTTTCAGAATCAGAAGGCATTATGGACAGCACACTGTAAGTAGATCCTGAAATCAGAAAAAATAAAGACATCATTTATCTCCCTTGCCCTACGACAGGCTATTAGGAGCATTCCTCCTCCTGATATAGTAGAGGCCAAACATACTTCATTACAGAGAGCAAGCATGCCTAATGTACAAAAAAAATCACTAAGAATAATTTGCTAACGAACATGGCGCTGGTTCATCAACAAGAAGCTATTAAATATAAAAAGGTAGAATAAATACAAGGCAACAACTAGGACACAGGTTATTTCAGATGTCCYGAAAAATATAAGGTTTCTTCTGTACATTATGAAGATTCATTTAAAATGATGACTAACAACAGTTAGCATATAATCTTGTCTTTTAAAACTGCCAGCTTCTGCTCCTTTGTGTTATTCATTTATGCTCCTACTGTCCAGCTTATTTGGGAAGTGAGCTTCACTGGTAAGGGATTTCTGCTTGTACCTGTTTGCAGCTTTCAGTATCTAGTCCTAGAAGTGAAAACCTACAAAATGCTCTGCCGGTGTTGACCATACCAACAGATTTTTTTCACATAAAGATGGACTAACAGAGGCTTCTTATTATAGTTAATATCGAAGTACAAGAGATTCTAGTCACCAGAAGAACTAGAAAAACAGGTCCTATTTCCAAACCTTACAATTTAAGCAGCTCTACCATCTCTCATAAMCAAATGAACGTCCCACAGAAAGGGCAGGGAATGATTATGTGGAAAGGCGATTTGAAATCTGGTGAACTTGCAGCACAAAGCAGGACACGCAACCTGTCTTGACAGGAGCCAACTTGAAGGCACTTTCAGTATTTCTAAGAGTTATAACTTCTACAGTCTTTCTGTTTCACTGTTTACTTCTCCCAGTCTCTTTGAAATTAAAAAACCAAAAGCTAAGAAGGAGCAAGATATTTGATGAACAGATGTATATTTTAAATGGAGTAACCTAAAGACAGTCTGTAGAATGAGAATGTTCTTATTCTTTCTCATCTCTTCCGCTTCCCACTTGGAAAAAAAGCCACAATACCTGCAGTTATTGTTGTCTAATGATGAAGGAAAGATGAGGCATGATGCAAGATGGGGAATTTACTAACATAAGCATTACAAGTAAAGAAAAAAAAAAGTAAACAACCACCATCGTCCCAAAACCACACACACCATCTGGAGACACACTTAGGGACAGATTGCCAGCCAGTTAAACTGGTGGGGCACCATAACCTTCATCTCTTCCATTTAGCCATCTGCACAGACATACCATGGAATCGGTTAAAATAAAAAAGCAGGTGATGTAGGGAGCATTCCTTCCCAGCAAACACTCTAATTTTACTGGCAGACSTTACTGAAAATAAGTCCCAAAATCAAAGGGGTTCATGAAGCTCCTTCTTTCACCCAACAAATACTCATAAGGGGGGAAAAAAAAAAGATTCAAAATACATTGGTTGGAAATAATTCTAATTGATTAGAAAGTATTTCTTTTTTTCTTCAAATGAAACACATAACCAACAGCCACTTGAACACAAGTTTTGAAAAAAGAACATCAGCTGCCCATTTTGGCTTCCATGTCAGAAGTAACTCTTTCATCTGTGTTTTTCCTTTATTAGTGGTCATTAAATGAAAGCCAATTCATAATGACATTCAGCACTAACTCAAATCAACCTCTCCGTATATTCTCAAGTCATATTTGACTGGCAACAATTCTTGTCGTCTGGACAGGAAGGATTAGAATAATAACTACAGCAGATCCAAACAGAGCAGCATATTTAAGTATGACATTTTATGACAGACAACTTGTACCGAGATTGCTATCAAGACTCGGTGGGACTCAAACAAACTAAAACCTTGTGTCAACAACAGAGAATTCACAATGCTGGGCCAAAGCAGAAGATCCAACAACWGATCTGATTGCTACAGTTATACTAAGAAAAATAGGGTTAAAAAAGACCAAATCTCATAGATCTGAATTCATATAGAAGTAACTTGCTATTTGGACAGGGAACTTGTACCTGTATTACAGCTACAACTTCTACTTGTAGTACTTGTAATAGGACAGGATGACTCCAGATACCCCAATCAATAAGATACATTTTTAACTAGGGAAGACCAAAGCAGTATGAAACAGACTTTACTTCTAATTTTTTTTCCAGTTTTCTTGTGCTACCAATCACATATTTTCTATACGTCTAATTCCCACCTCAAAGTACCTTGATCAAATTGGAAAGCTCTCAAGTCAGCTTCCCACGCATGCTCATACAAACAGAAAAAGCAAAATACAAGTATGCACAGACTCCTAACACTTCCTTCTAATTCTGAGTCAAATTTAATAATCATCATGGATTTTTTAACAGATGCTCAAGATACATTAAGGTATATGACATCCATCATTGAGTTTTTTAAAACTACTCCTTTAGGATTAGACTTAGATGTATAATGCTACTTAAAAATAATTGGTACTATAAATCTGCATATAATGAACTACTGCAGAGCGTGTTTTCAAGTAGCACAGCAACTCCTGTCAAAGCACTTGGTAGTGTATCAGAAGGCAAGTGCAGCTCTATGAGCATTCATGCTAAGCTGGTGATCCACCTGATGACAGCAGAGACCCCCTAAGTAACAAGCAAATTCCCCRGCCAATAACAAAACGCATGAAATGGAAACCTGGACAAGAGGCAAACCCCTTGTTTTACCTCTGTGCAGAGGTGAAAAAGGTGACACACAGTTCCACAAACTCAAAAGAGACATAGAAGAAAAGATGCAMAGACTGAAGCAAAATTGGCAAGGCCACGTTCTGCAGCCGTCTTACTGACTCTGCTTTCTGATCAGAGGCAAAGCCTACCTCCCCACAGCACTTGGGTCAACAACAAGTTTGATACAATAGCATTTTATTTCCTTCCTCCTTAGACTAGTCTATGTCAATATTCTCTCATTTGCAACACTCAAGTGGTGCTTGGCTGACACATGGAATTGAACAGAAATGCCATAAAAGTCACATTTGACTTGAATTCCAAGGAAAAGAGTCCATTCTGGTAACACRTGCCAGCATCATCAGCGGCAATATCACTTAAGCGTCAGAAAATCATCAGAGGATCCTACATTGGTTTCACAATATTAATCTTTACCTACTATATCAAAACCTGCCTGACTGAATTCAGACAAAAGTAGCACCTTAGTGAACCCATGTAGCTAGCAGGGCTTAAAATTCTTCTCAGACAGCATTTCCTCAACCCCCACAAGATACTGCACTGCAAAAGGAGACTGAAATGGCCAACCAGTTAACSTCAAAGCAAAGCCTCCCTCTGAAATGAGAGGCAATGCGCTTGGTGGCTTCTGGAGGAGACCAGAGCACAAAACCAAGTGAAATTTCTCCTAGGACTCAACACTAAATTGTTCAGTGGCCTTTGAGAAGGAGAAACAAAAACAAACAGAACACCCACACCCAAAACACTGGGCTCAAGTTTCATTATGTGCAGCTAAGCTTCATTTTGGGACTCCTCTCCCTGCTTAGGAACCTCTCCTCCTCCATACAAACATGCMCAACTGCTCCGCTGCGAAGGTGTCTGTATCTAGGTGGACTGCAGTTCCTTTATACAGACACTTATCTTAAGCAGAGAGCTGGGTGGACTGAGCCTGTTTCAAACAGTGAAGAATAAGGCTCTAACTTGAGGACCATGTGGGGCTGTGGCCCCCATTAGGGGGAGTGCCCGGATCCTCCATCCGCACCCTTTTCATACCCCTCCTAAGCGTTTCCCCACTGCATTAACTCTGCCTCCCCTGCTACCTCCTTTGCCAGCTCTGTGCTCGCTGGCAGATTCTGCTTCTTGGCAGCAGGTGATTTCTCTGCGGGCGGCCCAGGCGGATGAGGTGGCGTGTGACAAGTGTCTGCGTACCCAGGTGTCGGCGCTCCCAGCTCGGCYGGCGCTGGCAGCTCTCTCATTTGCRTGGGGGAGCTCAAAACTYGGGAAGTGGAGACGCTCCCGCCTGCACTGTTCCCGCTGCTGTCCTCAGGACAGGCAGCAGGGCTGCCCAAGCCGCTCTCGAGCACACAGGCCTGCTGTGCTCCATCTCAAAGTAAAATGATTCCTGCTTCCAGATTTCAATACGTTCAGTCCAAGCACGGCAAGAATGTGTCTCAACACCAGTTCTCCCAAGTTGCCTCTACAGCAGACTGGGTCAACTTAATTTTCCCAATATGCCCTAAGATTTGTTCTTAACCACCCAAAATACATTCCATTTGCCCAAGTCCCAGATGCATATTTGCCAGCTAGAAAAATATAATCATTTCTACAAAAACACATTCTAGGAGGCTCAAGAGAGGTCCCATGCTATATAAATCATTAGGAACCACAACATGTTTGCTGAATTATACCAGATAAGTCAAAGGAGAAAAAAGAAAAAAAAAGCAGAAGCATTTGATTTTAACAAGCTTCCTATAATCTAATTTCCAAACTCTCCTGTGTCTCTCAATGTAATCTTCATAATCAAGATGACTTTGCAAATTATATGTAAGAAGATATATTTTTTATGCATTAAAAAGGAGGCGCAGATTTTCATTACAGGTCCAAGAAGATTAGAGCACAACAGAAGACAGTTGCCAACACAGGACCCCAGGCTCTTTGTATAAAAGGGCGGTAGGAGAAGTTGGGTCTTAAAAACCCTGGTCAAGCCCACATCCTTTCAGTACTCCATCCCCATCACCCTATTAACTATAACTCCAACCTAGCCATTTCTAAAAGCTTTCTTCCCATGTGCTGTAGACAGAAAGGAGTCTCYGCAGTGTTAGAAGCCAGAACAGCATGGGCTGAAGGTGATACAAACACTATATTCCTACAARCCTATTCCTAGCCCATGATATTCCTCTCTCAAAATTCAGAAATTTTCACTTCATGTAGCTTGCACACACACACACACAGCTTTGAAGCATGTTATTCCTTCAAAAGTAATACGATTAACACCACTCTTAAATGCTATTCTGAAAATTTCATTTCAGTTTTGGAATTAAATCA